GCCAGCCTTCTGGTTAGCAGTCAAGTGCCTTAGGCACTATGCTACCAGAGCCTTAGGTAAATTGCTAATTCTTTAAGCCTCTGTTCACTGTGCTCTAAAATGGGGGTAATACTTCTTACCAGGCAAGAGTTGGAGGAGGATTAAATGAAGTGATGTCTGTAAATCTCTAGACACATTCATAGATATTCCATTGATGTTAGTATGTTTCTCCTCTCTTTTGTGGTCAGAGTGTGAATTGTGAGTTTGATCAACAGTGATTGCTTCGTTTTTGAGAAGCAGTGATAAAGTGTCATAATTAAAGCAGCGCTTTTGGAAAGTGATTCCTATAGCTGTGTGCTGAATATATTAAGGTAGGGGGATGCCTGGAGGCAGGGATGTGACTAGGGTAGGTTTGAAGAGGTGCTTTTAAAGAGCCTAAGTGTAGCCTGAGGAAATGAGAAGAAGGATATATGTCAAGAGAGACAGAAATGAGTGAGTAGGTCATGTCAGTGAATGAGACTGAAAAAAAGGAAGGAATGGAAATTACTTTAGAAAGAATTATTTGCATATGGGAAGGAAACCCTTTAAGTTGTCACTACCATGGAAACAGCCTAAATGTCCATCAATAGGGAACTGTCAGATAAATTATGGTACATCTTATTAAGGTAATTCTATGCAGCTATTTTAAAAAGCCTTGGATGGGAACAATATCCAATATAAATTCTTAAATTAAAAAGCCTGGTATAAAATGGTGGATCTAATATGCCACTATTTGGGAGGGGGAAAGGAAGATGTGTCCATAGCTCTGTATGTAACAGCTCTGTGTGTATAGGCTTATGAATGTACTCTTTCTGAATGGATACTCAAAAATTAACAGTGGTGACCTCTAAGAAGGGAAGTACAGACTGTGGGAGGGGGAAGGAGACTGACTTTTCACTATACACATACATATATAGTTGTATATGTTGCATATGCATATCAAAAAAAATTATAATGGTTCAAAATAAATTGTTTGAAAAAGTTAGAGGCACACTGCCCACAGAAGCATTTCACTGTATGTCAGTTTTCCCTCTAACATTCACACACACACACATACATACACACACACACAAATGGTTTGTGGGTAGTAGTCCTATAAAAAAGGGGGAAAGAAGCAGCCATTTAAAAATATTCTAACATGCAGGAGATTTAATAGAGGCAACAAGATGTTCTAGAGGAAGCCCATGGATTTTGGAGTCAGACTTGCTAGTTTTGTGACCTTGGGCAAGTCATTTAACCTCTTTTGAGCCTCTAGTTTTTTTCTTCTCAAAGATACCTTTATCAGCCTATTGAGATAAATAAACATAATGTATGCCTGGCACAAACTAGCTATTCAAAAATGGTAGCTATTACTATATTACATTACTATATATCTATCTTTATTTAATTTTAACCAGGCTTGAGACAGTCGCCCAAGATACAAACCACTTATTGTTGATAAGAAACAGTATGGTGTACTCAGGAAGAGTGTTGACTTTGAAGCCAAAGTTCTGGGTTTGAACCTGCATAGACAAATTACTAAAAGTCTCTCTGTGCCTCATTTTCCTCATTTGTAAAATGAAGCTAATAATAGAACTACCTCAAGGTTGTTGTGAGAAGTAAATGAATTAATACACATATAATGCTTCCAGAGAACCTGGCAAATAATAAGCACCAGATGATTAGTTGCTATCATTATTATTTATTTACTATAACTATTTCATCTTCTGTTTTTATGTTCTTGCCTGACAAGTAAGTCTGGATACCTTTTCTTTATTCTTTCATAAGTCTGCACTTTGGGAAACGTGGTGAGAGGAGATGGGGGGAACCAGGGTAAGGTGTATTTATGTATTTATGTGTATTTGAAGAAAAATTTACACATAGGGAAATGCACAGATTTTAAGTGTTCAGTTTGACTGGTTTTGACTGATGTATACACTTGTCTAACCAAAACATATTTAGGATACCGATCATTTTCATCACTCCTGAAACTTCCCTTTATAGCCTTATCCAGTCAGTCTCTACCCCTCTAGGCAGCTACTGCTCTGATTTCTGTCACCATAGATTAGTTTTGCCTATTCCTGGACTTCCCCTAAATGGAAGTATACAGTATGTACACTTTTGTTTCTGGCTTCTTTCTCTCTACATAATGTTTTTAGATTTTTTCCATGTTATGTGAATTAGTAGTTTATTCTGTTCTGATGCTAAGTTGCATTCTATTCTATGAATATACCACAAATTGTGTATAGATGAAAATCTATTGATGGACATTTGTATTGATTTCAGTTCTGGAGGAAAAAAAAGTGAAACTTGTAAACATCATGTACAAGGTTTTTTTAAAATACATTTTTAATTTTCTTGGGTAAACACCTAAGTGGAATTATTGGCCATGGGATAAATAGATGTTTAACTTTATAAGCAACTGCCGAAGCCACAGTACCATTTTGTGGAAACACTGGAGGGAGAATGGAGGAAAATGGTCTCAATATGGAAAGAGGATAAGGAGGGATCCCTTTGAGGGAATGCTGGGAGGTGGAGAAAGAACTATAGAGAAGGAGATCTTCAAAACAGTTTAGCTCTCCTAGTGTGCAAATTTATATTCCTAAAATAAGTGATGAAGTATCTTTTATAAACCATGATCTCTTTTGATCGCCACAACAATACTATAGTGTAGGCAGAGCACATGTTACACTATTCTGTTTTATAAATAAGAAAACTAAACCTCAGAGAAGTCAGAATGACTTGTCAAAAGTCCCACAGCTAGTTACTATCTGAGGTGGGACCGAAACCCCAGTTTTTAGCCAAGAAGTTTCTTGCCCTTAGTCCTAGCTCAAACACTATTAGCTACAAAACTTCGGACAAATTACTTAGCCTCTCTAGACCTCAGTTTTCTTACTTGTACAGTGAGAATAATAGTACCTACCTAAGATACTAAAGGCATAAGTGAGGTAACAATTGTATTATATGCTTTGCACATAGTAGAAGCACAGTAAATATTAGTTGAGTCCAAATCTAAGGTAGATAAGTGGGTCTGAGCTGAAGAAATGAACTAGCCAACAGTATGACTGGTATGATGGTGGTATGTGTAAAAGGCTTAGTCAAATGTCACACTCCCTCTCTTTCGAAACCCAGCCAGGGTCTTTTCCCCTTCCTCACTCTTCTCTTCCTTTTGTTCTTCTCCCTGATATTTCAGAATTTTAGCTCAATGAAATGTTGTTTCACTCATAAAAAGAAAAAAAAAGTTGGAGGCCTCTGCTTATAATACAAATTCAAATTACTTATATAAAGAGGCAGAGAAAGATAGTAATCTGACACATATTTTGCTGCAGGATTCTTTATGAAAATGATTACACTTCTCTAAATCCCTCTCTGAGACATATACCAGTATATGTGTATGTGTATATATATATATGTGTGTGTGTGTGTGTACATATATACATATGTATATGTATATGTATATGTATACACACACGTATACATATATACATATGTATATATGTACCAGTGCACATATACCAGTATCAGGTATTTTTGATCATCGTTATCTGAAAACCATGTTGCAATACCTGTTTCTCGCCATCTTGGTCACAGGGTTATCAGCAGCTCTGAGCATACTGACGGTCCCACTGGTTGCTGGTAACTTTTCATCAGACTGAGTTTAGCCCTAGGCAAACATCTCTCTAACTTCTTGCTAATGACATTTCTCAGCCTGATCATAATGTCATAATGACATGTTGTTTTATAACAATATAGTGAGCTCTGGAGAAATGAGAAGTAGCCTCAGCCTTTGTTCTCGATATAGATTAGTTATGTAGCCTAGCATTTAAAATACTTCTAAAAACTTTCCTCATAAGGAGGATCCTTTCAATAACAGTTTGTTGTCAGAAATGTCATTAGGAGACATTTTTCTTCCCACTTTGCCTTAAAGGGACATTTTCTACCTCATTAGATCCAGTCTTCTAGCCTGATCTTCAGAGAAGGTAGTCTGAGATTCCTTGGTCCCTTAAACTCCAGTTCTTTATGGAAAATTCTACCATGTGGTGCAGAGCCTACCCATGACCTTAGTAACTAAGAGTTCACACCGTTCCTACCTTGGGTGGTGTGTTAGGAACACCAGATATGTAGAGAAAACAACTTTTACTTACTAGTTTTGAGTTCCTGGGCAAATCGTTTCCCTTCTCTGAGCCTGAGTTCTCTTACCTGGGGATGCTGATCATCTCTGCCCTGTATATTTCTTAGTGCTGGTATGAGCATCAAAAAAGATGTCTTGAAAGCTATTTGTGAACTCTAAATGCTGTACACATGTGTAGTATTGTCCCTCTTGTTGAACCTGTAGATACAGCCCCACCCGCCTTTCCAATCCATTTCTTTCATTGACCCATTTCATTTCCATTAGGAAATTGAACTCATCCAACTTTTTTAGAAGGAGACTTGTGTCCAGGGGATTTATTTATTAATTAATAGGTCACTGTCAGGGAGTCAGATCTTTGCTTTAGAATATATGGAGCTCAGTGGCAAAGCCACAGCCAGCAACATTTGCCCATAATTCTTCCCTGGAGACATGGTGATGAGATATACTTCCTTCTGCAGACTGATGACAGCAATGGGGACTTGGACCCAGGAGTCTTGCTGACAGCTCAGACCATCACATCCGAGACCACAAGCAGCACCACCACAACTCAGATTACCAAGGTAACAGACCAGCTCGGAATATCCTGCTGGAATCCAGTGGCTTGCTGAGCTTGCTGCCTCTCCACTTAAAGGACCATGAGCAAGAATCTCCAGCTTTATCCCTACGGAGCTAAAGCACTGTCCCAGCTTCCTCTGCTGCTTTCCCTAGCAGTAAACTCAGGCATTCAGAGCCTGTCTCCCTATCTTGTCAGTAAGCTCATAAAGTCACATGTGATATTCTTTGTACCTCTATCTATCTCTCTTGTCAGGGAGTCCCCTATCTGCCTATAGAAATTAAGAAGTCAGTTTAAAGGCAAATTTTGTTGGTATCATTATGCAACCATATTTTCCAAGCTAAAAATCAGGACTCATAGTCTGACAGAGTCATTTTCAAGGTCAAGGCCATAGGAAATGTAGTTTGGATGCTGAAATATTGAAATTAATAGGATATGGTTCATAAGGCAAGAAAGAGAAGATATCTAAAATTGAAACTACCCTCAGAAAATCAGACACAATTTATGTTTGTTGTAACACTAGAGGAAAATGCATTTTCTTTAGGTGAGCATCTACATTCTTGATCAGGCTCTGTTATCAAGGCACAGGTGACAGGAATCCAGTTATTTGCTGTGTCTAGACCTAAGTTTTCCTCATCTGTCAAGTAATACTTGCCAACCCTCTGGTGATTATTTAAGGAGTTTTTTGACATCAAGAATGAGAAGAACCCAATTTCAAGATACATGACATTTTTGTTTATAGTCCTTGGATGTTTTTTCTTCTGAAAAGAATCAAAATGTACAAAGGGAAACACCTGTTTTGTTTGCTTACTGAATCTCTGTGGTATTTGAGAGGAAGAAGAAAATACAAAGTAAATAAAGGACTATGACCTTTTGTTTAGCTTATTAAAGGTTGATTTTAGCAAACCAGAGAAGTATAGTTATGTTTATATTAGCAGGCCCAGCCAAGATTTTGGACTGGTGGGTGAGAAAAGCTATCCTATGTAGTACCCAGCAGTAGATTAAAAGCACCACTCCACTTTGGAGTGGAGTTTTCAGAATAATCTCTTACTCCTTTTTCTTTCTTTCTTTCTTTCTTGCTATGTTGCTGATCTCATATGATCACCTCTCTTTGGTTTCAGACTGTGAAAGGTGGGATTTCAGAGACTCGGATTGAAAAGAGAATTGTGATCACAGGAGATACCGATATTGACCATGATCAGGTAAGAATGCTGAGCAGATTCTTGGAATGGGAGGGGTCCCTGGGCAGGAAGATTATTGAATACAGGAGTTTGCTAGCAAAGGATACCACTGCCATCTTTATCTGCAAAGAACTCCTTCAGTTACAGTCCTTATTCAACAAGGAGTACAAAGGGAATCAAAACAGAGGCCTGTGAGATGGGGCCTTTTTATTCACTCCCTTGATCATTGAGTGAAAATCCAGGGGCGTCTGGAATTTTTCTCTTCATAGTGACTGCCTCATCAGCTTCCTGTGGGTCAGAGCCTTAGCACCTGTAGGTCCTACAGTCTTCATTGGGGGAAGTAAAGGAATGTAATGAAAAGAACAGGGGCTTTGGACTGAAATAAACCAAACCCACTGCTATCGAGTCAGATCTAACTTGTAGCGGCCCCCATTGGTTTTCCAAGGTGGTAAATCTCTATGGAAGTAGATTGCCCAGTCTTCCTTCTGTGGAGCAGCTGGTGGGTTTGAACCACCAATCTTCTTGTTAGCAGTCAAATGCATTAGGCACTGTGCTGCCAAAACTCAAATAGACTAGTTCAAATACTAGTTCATACCATATTCTAGCTCTTAACCTCTCTAGGCCTCAGCTTTTTCATCTATAAGATAGAGAATATAGTATCTTCCTCTCAAAACTATTGTGAGGATCAAGTGATACACTGCATGTGTGGTGCCTGTTGGCTCCCAGAAAATGGAGTCATTATTCAGGGGATATCATGTACCTAAACCTGGCTAGAGACCATGGGTGCTATCAGAACAAAAGGAAAGCATGATCCCTCCCCTCAGAGGACTGTGATAGCTGAGGAGAGAACTAGGGGGGACACAGTGTGATGGACAAGAAATCAGGAGACTTAAAACTTGCTTTCTGTCCTGGATCTGTCTCTGACTTGCTGTGTGACCTTGGGCAAATCACTTTACCTCTGATTTTTTTTCCCTCTCCTAAAAGAGTAGGTTGATCTAGATAATTTCAGGGCCCTTCTGAGTGCTAAAATTCTGTTTTTATGTTAATTAGGTGCTAATTGTGTGCGGTAAGCAATTAGCAAATAATAAGGTCAGGATAAATGTTCCCAATTCTCTGCTGGGTGAGGTTGGAACAGTAAAACTGCAGAGAAGTGGGGGTGGAAGAGACTGCATGCAAATGCTTCTGGAATCATTGACAGGATTGCTGGAGCAACGATTCCGTGGCCTTTATGCTGATGTGCTGAGTGCCTTAAAAAAGAAAAGCTGCGCTGCAGTGCTGGCAGTTCCTGTGGTAGGACAGTTGAGACTTACAGCTGAGAACACAGGGCTCAGGGTCCCAGAAACAAGGCTGCAAGGCCCAAATGGGGGGCCTTGCAACCTGTTTGTCCCAGCGCAATAGATCCCGCTGCCTTACCAGCCGGCACCCAGCTATTCAGTGTGGAGTGATTTCAACCACTGCTATGGATTCAGTCTGAGCTAGACAACAAGAGCGGCTGGATGGGAGGTGTTTTGGGTTTGGAGTGAGGCAGACCTGGGTTGAATCCTGACCCTGCAGCTTACTGGTTATATGCCCTTAAGCAAGTTCTTTTACTTCTCTGAGCAGTACCTTTATTCTGTAAAAGAAAGATAATCATAGGTTTCTTCATCGGTTGTTCTGACAAATGGACAAGCACGCTTGACAGCCCAGAGAAGGACTCCAGTGTCCCTCACTTTTCCTAGGTACCGAAGGCTACATAGAAGGGATAAGATATGGTGCACTCTGTCTAGGGAGTGGGGCACATTCAGTGCTCTTATGGCACAGTGGTTAAAGTATTTAGCTGCTAACCTAAAGGTCAGCGGTTCAAACCCACCACCGCTCCATGAGAGAAAGATGAGGCAGTCTGCTTCCATAAAGATTCAGAGCCTTGAAAACCCTGTAGGGCAGTTCTACTCTGTCCTGAAGGCTCACTATGATTTGGAATCGACTTGATGGCAGTGGGTTTGGTTTCGGTACTGAAGAGATGCAGTGTGGTTCAGGGTTTCACAGAGAGATGGTCATAGGCCAGGGCAATCAATGAGAGAGTGGAGGCAGGATCCTGAAGCATGAGCAGATGGGTTGGAAAATCAGGATGCGGAGCAAGGGCCTAGAGAGATGGCAGGTCCAAGCATGGCTTTCAGGAGACCAAGAGACCAGAGGCAGCTTCCTTCTTTTTCCTGTCCTTCTTAGAGATGCTTCTTAAGAGTCAGAGCAAGGAATCAGCTGGTCACCTCTAGCTGGAGTCCTTTCTGATATGGGGGGGAGTCTACTGCTGAGAACCTGTATACCACCGTCCCCCAAGGCTGATGGCATGTTCTCGTCAACCTTGAGGTTCTCCCAGGCTCAGAACTTGAAGCTCAAGGAAAGTGGCACCATTGCTCTCTCTTGACTTTCTCTCTGCTACTCTTAGTTTTTCTAAAATAATAAAAATTCCAGATGCTAGAATAGGGCCCCCCAGGAAAGTAAAAGACACTGTGGCAAAAGGCAGTTCTTACGTATTTGAGTTAAAATCCAGTTGCCTTACTTACTAGATGTATAACTTTAAGCCCTTTATTTAATTACTGAACCTCAATTTCACTTCCTCATCTGTAAAATGGAAATAATGATACTACCCTAATTGATGGAGTTGTGACGATTAAGTAAATAATATTAAGTACAATGCTTAGGTGAGTGCGTGGCATGTACAGCCATCCAATCAGTGTTAGTTTCCTCTTTTCCTTCCCCCTTCCCTTTCTTTTATTCTTATCACTTTAGCCAAAGACATCTTTTCCTTTTTGTAGCATACTTTTTTTTCTCTCCTGTGTTGGCCTTCTTGGTTATACTATGCTGAACACAGGAAGAAGACTCACTTCTAAGAGACTCCTCCCAGGGCCTACCCAAGCAGGTACAGGTGTCAGCCCTGAAGTCCCTCTCAGATTGCTTGAAGACACTGTAACTGTTATCAGTCCAGATGGGTGGGTAAGATAATCATCAGCTTGGCTTAGCCTAAATGCTGCCCTGATATTTCAGACAGAAGGACTGGATTTGCCAGAGAAATTATGTCTATGATCCCTGCTTTCCTTCACCAGCTGGACTGCTTTTTGCCTGATTGGCTTGTTTCTGTTTTTCTTAGGTCCTCGTACAGGCCATCAAGGAAGCAAAGGAACAGCATCCAGATATGTCAGTGACCAAGGTGGTCGTCCATCAGGAGACCGAGATCGCCGAGGAGTGAGCTCAGGTGGGGGGATTCCTGCTGGGCTGAGAATGTGAAAGCAGACTAGCGACTCAATGATAGAGATAGAAAGGTTATTAGGTGTTTGGCTCCAGCTTAAGCAGTCAGGTCTGTGTCCTCTGGCCCTTAGCAGTGCCAGCAGTGCAGCACAGGAAGAGGTACCCCAAGCTTGGAGGTAAACTCTTCCCCCTCCTGAATCCTCCTGCATCCTCCTGCTTCTCCACTGCCCCTCCTTTCTCTGTCCTGCTCTAACCACCTGTTGTAGTGACCTCTAAGCCCAAATCTGAGAGGACCAGAGGAGAACAAAACCAAGAACAGGACCAGGCTTTTGGGAAATGGGGAGGGGAACAGTGGAAAATGGCTGAAGCTCTGGGGCCAGACTAGAAAATTAGAAGCAGAGTTGCAGCATTCTGGGAGCTAGAAACTACTAAAAGTAATTTACAAATGACTTGAAGAAGCTGTCAAATTCCAGGTAGGGCTGGGCCCTATAAAACCTCTTAGGGCCTGATTGTCACTAGTGGCCTAAAGAACTTGGCATTGGGATTATGTCAGAGAATAATGGAACTGAGCAGCTTTTTCCTTTGCAGGATTTTAAATATTTGCCCTTTCTTTCCTCTAGGAACTATTCTACCCCCAACTCCCTGCCCTTCTTTCATCCAAGAGAAAACCAGCAGAATGATAAAGAAGCTAACCTGGAGTAGTCAGACTTCAGACTTTCAAGATTATTTAAACCACCAGAAAATTAATTCCTTTTTCTATTTGGAGTTTATACCAAGAGATTCTTCTAGCTATCACTGATCCTTTTGGATTCCTTTTTCTATATTGTGATAGCAGAAATGGCTCATCTCTTCACTTATAGGCTGGTTTTAAGTAGGTTTTGTTTTGATTTTGTTTTTAATGGGGTGGTTTGCAAACTCTTCGACCTAGCATCTCTCCATTTATTTCCAACCCAGATACTAACAGGGTCCACAGAATTCCTTAGAAAATCCTCCAGACTCTGTCAGCTATGTTGGAGGTCAGAGCCAGCTAAACGGGGCTTTCCTGCTCCTCCTCTAGTTTTATAACCTTTGGATGACAGCAAAAAAGTCATAAACCAACTCTTTCTCAGATCCAATAATGTGACTTTACCACAATGTCAGGCAGGGTGGATTTTCTGGCTTCACAGACCCTGGGAAAAGGCTCCTGGCCATCACTTTGTTGGGGATGGGTTTGGGGAAGCAGAGACCTCCGCTAAGAATGTAGTTTTCTTTCCTCCTTCCTTTTTTTGGTACTTCTTTACATCAAAGATAAAAGCAAATGCATATATATCTGAGATTGTGAATGTCTGAACATAGCCGTGGCCTTCACCTTCGTGCCCTCCCTCCCCAGCTGCCCTTTTACCTCGTTAGAAGCAGTGGCTCTGCTAGGTGCTCCCCAGCTGCCATCTCAGGAGAGCAGACATCACAGAAAACAGGCACCTTCCGCCCAAAGCTCTAATGGCACATTTTTAGAGGTGATTTGAGGAAGGAAAGTTACTGTGATTTTTAAAGTAAGGTTTTCCAGTTCTGAGGTCTGCACTTGACACAGGAGAATGGTGGGGTTTACCTCAGTCAGATCTTGGTAAGAAGTATTTCCAAGTGACCATTCCTGAACCTCTTTCTTTAATCCCAAGATGGAAAGAATGTGACTCGGAGAGGTGTTGTGTTCCTTGATCTTTCTTCTCCCCACAAACACCTTCCTGAAGACATCCTTCTGTAGCAAGAGAATTGGCTTCCGGAGGCCATCCTTCTCACAAAATGGCCATGGGCCCTCACTTCCCCTCTCCTTCTGAAGCCAGGTTTTGTAGGCTTGATTTTGTGGTGGGCTTTGGATTCAGCCTTTTTGTTTTTGGAAACGTGAGCACTAGTGTCTTCAGTCCCACCATCCCCATGTACCTTCTGGTAAAGATTTGAGGGCATTGGGCTTTTCCAATCTTCCAGCTTGCTCCCTACAGACAGATCTTCTTGGAGGCTTCTTGGAATCCTAATTCTAAGCTGCAAGTGAACTTCATGGGATAGACAGTGGGTAGCAGTTGCTGGGGGCACAAGGGCAGGGAGCAGAAGAAAGAAACTTAGTCTTGGCTCCCAACACTGGGAGCCAGTAGGATGTGTCCAAGATCTCTCCTGAGTTTTGCTGGGACATGCTGGCTGGTTTGAACTGATTTCAGGTGTGTGCTTTTTCTAATACTCATGTGGGCCTGTTACCAGCACAGCTCTCTCTGGGGAGAAAAGGTGAAAGCACCAGTGGGGTGTGTGGGCTTTGGGAAAACGAGGTTATCCTAGCTCAGGAATAGACTTGCATAGGATCTGAAATGATGTGTTCTCTGGGTGGTGCCTAGGCCTGGGCTGTCTTGTCAGAAGTGGTAGCTAGGTTAGAAGTACAGCTCACATCAAACAGGTAATAAGAGCTTGCTTCCCTCGAGAGTGTGCCAGTGGCCAGCTATCCCACTGAAAGAGCTGTTAGTGCTCACGAAGCTGAGACCTGTGGAATGAAGAGGATGGGGAAAAGGACGAGGACACACGTGTCTCCATTTACAAACTTGGCCGACTGAATATTCTGTGCTATCTACATCAGGAGCTCTGGTAGTGAAATGGTTAAAGCATTTGGCTGCTAACCAAAGGGCAGAGGTTTGAACCCACCAGCTGCTCTTCATGAGACAGGCAGTCTGCTTCCAATAAAGATACCAAACACCAAACACGCTGCCGTTGAGTCGGATCCGACTCATAGCGACCCCTCCTTGGGTATCCAAGGCAGTATCACTACGGAAGTAGATTGTCCAGCCTTCTTTCTGAGGAGTGGCTGGTGGATTTGAACTGCCAGCCTTCTGGTTAGCAGTCAAATGCCTTAGGCACTATGCCACCGGAGCTCCTCCATAAAGATTACAGCCTTGGAAACCCTATGGGGCAATTCTACTCTGCCCTGTAGGGTCACTCTGAGTCAGAATTGATTCAACAGCCGTGGTTTTTTGGGTATCCAAAACTGTGGCAGTTTTCCTAGCACAGGACCAGGAGCCAAGGGGCCTAAACTTTCCTTCAGCTCTGTCACTTTTTTTTGAAGTCGGCTTCCTTGTCTGAAAAGAGCTGTTCTTCCAGCTCTGAGAAGCCATGATTTGGAGAAGCCCAGTGAAGAGAAGTGTCCTTCCAAGCCTGGCCTTCCCCTTTCCTCCCTCTCTGGCAACAAATCTTGGGGTTTGGCAATTGTTTCAGTTTTTTTTTCTTCCTGCAGTTGTGTGTGTACGTGTGTGTAAAAACAGACTCTGTCCAGGTGGAAATGATGAAGAGGGGGAGGAGAGTTACATCTCCAGGGTCAATGACTTGGCAACAGTTTTCCTAAAGTGATTCAGACACACGACAGTAACAACTCTTGCTGCAATTTTATTTTCATTTGCGAAATAAAAGATTTCCTCCAGGCCACATGAAGGATCTGCCACCCACCCACCCATCAGCACAGCAAGACCTGAATTCATAAGCCAAGAATCCATTGAGCCCTGGCTGCAGGGAGCTGTCAGGGACTCTCAGCCCACCCCAGGCCCACCACCATATGTTCTACAGGGCAGCTGAGGGTAAAGAGACAACAGCTCACTGTGGGCAATGGAGGCAGAGCTACTATGGCCTGACCAACACCAAGGGATGCTCATAGGAAATTTGTCTGAGATCTCAGCCCCAGGCTGGTTTTGTTTTTACAAATCTCTCAAATGTATTATTTTGGTGACAAAAATGAAGGAGCTTTGTAAATTTTTAAAAAATTATGAATCATATCAAGTAGTTGTTTACATTTCTTGACAAAATAGGAACTATGGCAGCAGAATTAAATTGGCAACATCTTTAGATTAAATAGGCAATAATCAGGTCTGCTATTGGCCTTTTGTAGTAAGAGAAGTGGTTGTAGTGTTTAGATATGTGTTTGGTCTTGCTTCTTGTATTGCATTTTCCAATAAACTTTCAAAAAAAAAGACTGACTGTGAGGTTTGATCCACTTTTAAAGTTTGCTTCTACTGTCAGCAACTTGGGAAAAATTAAATATGAGTTGGGGGAGACCCAAACTCAAGTCATCTTTTCAACTAAGCTACCCACACTCACCAAAATGCAGCTTCAGTGTTATATAAAAGGATTTCTGAGAACCGACAAATGCTTTCTGCCAACCGGAGGGAAATTCTGCAGCATAGAACACAATAGAATAAGGAGAGAAGGTGGCTTCTCAGTCAGACCTGCCTGGGGAGGGGCGGGATCCTCAGTGTGAAGGCATCGGCAGTAGTGTAGCCCTAGTGAGATATACCCTGCATGGCTGAGGAAAGAAAGGGGTTGAGGTGGTAGAAGTTAAAGGCTCAGTCCTAATCCCAGATGGCAGCGGATGGTCTCAGCACCACCCCATTACCCACTTCCCCAGAGGCCCAAACCCAACACCAGTGCCAGGTCCACCTTGGAGGGAGGCTGTCCCAGCCTGTAACATCCCAGTCTACACTCCCAAGTCTTGGGGGTCCTTGCCCACCACTTTGGGTTTACCAAGACACTAAATACATCTTCCAATCACCCTGATCTGGACCGCCAGCCCCATCAGGTACCTGTCCAAGGCTAAGGCCACATTTGGAGACTGAAGGAATTCCTGAGGCCGAGTCTTGCTGGTCACCAGACTCCACGTTAAAACATTCTCTCCAGCTCAGTTGAACAGATGAATGCTAGTGCAGTTGGCAATTCTCTGCTGACAAGTGCAAGTACCTTCCCAGCTGGGGCCATAGCATCCATCCCCATCCTGGGATGTAACTAGGCATTGGGACATCCACTAGACATTGGGACTGCTGGTCCTGTTACCATGACACGTGCTGCCAACTTCATAGCAGGCTAGCCCCGGCTCTTCAGACTTGGGCCCCCAAGTCCCCTCCTCCTCCCAACTTGGCATAACCCCCCAAACTGAGGCGATCTAGCCGTGGCCAGCTGCGGTGAGCACAGTCCCGAGCTGCTGGGGCCCCAAGCAGGAGCTCTCCAAGGCCCAGATCCAGAGACTTGGAGTGTTCGATGCAGGAACCGGAGGGCTGCATGGTGATGATCACGTGGCCAGTCTGGGGCCGCGGACCCCAGGGTGGGGGCAACCCAGGTCCCTTCAGCGGGTAGCTGTTGAGCAGGGCAGGTAATCCCAAACGAGGATTAGCAGGCTCTGAACGCAGACTCCTCACTGATGGAACAGGTGAGGTACCTCGACGAGGGGACAGGTCCCAGCTTTCTAGCTCTCTGCAGCCTATGGCTAGGGGAGTCCTAGGGCCAGGACTGGGAAGGAGAGCGCAGTCCCAGCTGGGGCCGTCGGGGGGCCGGAGTGCCTGAGCCCGCAGCACCCCCTGGCGGAGCCGTCGCGTCTCTAAGTCGCGGTTCTCATAGAGCAGTGTGTTGGCACAGATGAACACGAACAGGCCAACGCCCATGACCACCGGCCCTAGGAGTCTCAGACGCTCGTGCGGGCCGTGAGTACGGCCGGCTCCGCGGCCCTCCCGTCGCAACTGGCTCACCAGGGGCGCGCTGGCATTGGTGGCTCGCGGTCCCGGAGCCCCGGCGCGGTGCGGCCAGTAGCCGGCCACGGCGATGCCCATGCCCACCAGCACTACGAGCGCCCCCAGCGCCGCGAACGCCCCCGACGGCGAGCGCAGCCGCAGGCGCGCCCGCACCCGCAGAGGCTCAGGAGAGGAGCGCGGGCGCCGGCGGCGGCCCAGGCGGCGGCCCAGGCGAGAGACGCGGCCCTCGGGGCTCCTCCTCGCCTCCCCGCAGTCTCCGGGGCTCCCAGCCGTCATCTCGCCGTCGTCTGGGAGGTCTGCGGAGAGAAGATGGAAGAACAGAGACTGAACAGACGGGCCTGGGGGTCGAAACGCCTGGCTCTGAGTCCAAATCCAAGAGAGAAGCACCAGCCGCCTCGCCCAGGCCGCTTGGAGATCCCTGGCGGCCACCCCCGGATTTTCCCGGGCTGCGAGGCGGGGAGCCGCCCCCGTTCGGGTTTTCCGCAGCGGAGCTCCGAGCCAGGGACGCGCGGCAGGAGCCCGAGTTGGCCAGGCCCGCGGGCTGAGAAAAGAGAGGGAGGCGCCGGCCGCTCCCTAGCGCATCCCCGCCTGCGGGGTTTCGGCCACCTGCGACCCTTTCCGCGACCCGCGAGTACCCGGCCTTGGCAGGCGTGGGGTCCCCGGCAGCAGCGTCTCCAGGGTAAGTACTGCCGGGACTCGACCCCTCCCCCGCACGTGGCTGCACCGTAGTAAAGGAGGGAGGGGGCACTCAGACCGCCCTGGTCCGCAGGGGTCGCGCGGCTCCACCTCCCCCCGCCTGCGCTCCACATACCGCAGCGTGGGAAGGAGGGGTGTCACAGACTCCAGCCTTTCGCTGCCCGCTCCCTCCTTCCAGACCTCCTCAATCAGCACTGAAGCTGCAGCAGGAGAGACTTGAGCTAGACTTCAGGGAGACTGCTGTGACCAAGAAGAGCCCTTCAGAGGAGAGGCGGCAGCAGTGGATTTTGCCAACTGCACAAATCCACAGTGGATTTCTTTAAGTCCTCCAGAGACCCCCTCCCCCAGCGGCCGGACTAGGGCCAGGGTTGGAGGCAGCGGCAGGCGGGCGCTGGGCGAAGGGCCTCGCCAGGCGAGCTCCCCTCCCGGCTATCCCGTCGACCCGGCAAGGCTGCTCCCAGGTTGCAGCGTTTCCAATTCGGGCTTCTCGGGATGAATCATCCCCCTTTCCCGCCGCCTGGCCTTCTTTCTGGCCTCCTCCGCCCGAGGCCTCAGTGGCCCGCGTCCCGGTCGAGACAGCACCACCCCTGCGCCCTAGGATCCCGGGCCGCCCATCTAAAGCCACTTCTGGCCACTCGCCCGGCCCCGTCTGCGGCCAGAGAACTGGACCCGGAGAGAAGCTGGGCTGCGTGTGGGGTGGCCCCCCACGAAGGGTAGACAGGGTGGGGGAGGAAACTGGGCTCCCATCCCAGCGCCCCGGCCACAGAAGAGAAGTGTTAGGACCTCGCTGCCCAGTGGTGTGTCCTCACCACCCTCAGCGTAGTTTCTAAATAGCTCCAGCGCTGGAACCCGTAGCCGAAGCCCCATGGAGGAGGCTTTGCTACCTTGCCCAGTCTGCATCCGCACCCCTGAAGCGCAAAGCGGACTCCCCCATCCCTGCCAACGACAGGGCGCTGAAGACCCAGGGCCTAGCACGAAGCCGCAGCGCCCAGCGAACGCGTCCTAAGTCTGGTTTTCACAGACAGAAAGTGCGACCCGAGAGGCAGAAAGGGCCTTCCTGGGGTCACATGCTGGACAAGGCGGGGGCGCCATCACGGCGGGACGCTAGGCTTCTGGACCCCAGCCCAACCCTTGGGCACCATTCAGCGAGGCCGCCAGAGCATCAAAGGAGGCGAGGCCCTTTCCCCGCTAGTCCTGGAATGCGGAGCCTTTTTCCCCAGCCCGAAGCCAGAGAAGTGGTCATCCCGCCCCAGGCCCCAGCTGGCGCCCCAGCCCCAACCCCGAAGGGGTCACTCCTGAGCCCCGGCTCGGCCCTGCGGGGAGAGAAGGGGAGGCGTGCAGAGAAAAGGGGATGTCCTCAGAGACCTCGAGACTCTTGAGGGCGTGGGTCGACACTGTGGACCCCAAGGAGGCGGAGACTTGAGGACACAGCCCGAAGGTCCCAGGTCGCGGGAAGTCGTTCGGAACCAGGTCCCCTGCACTCCCGCCACCGCCCGCGTCCACACTCCGGCACGGAGGAAAGAGGATACCAAGAGGAAAGAGGAGGCTCCCACCCTCAAGAGCCCTTAAGGAAACAAAAAGTTTGGAAAAGTGAGGGACGAAGGCCTGGACCCTAGTTCTCTCACCTGGCGCCGCCGCGCCCCCGCGGGCCGGGGTCGTAGTCCGCGAGCCCGGGAAGGCTGCGCCGCCTCGGGTCTCCGAGGAATCGTGGCCCCCGGCCCCGCCCCCTGTTCGGGGCCCGCCCAGCGCCGCTCGGGCCCCGCCCTTCAGGAGCCCCGGGGACCATTACCAGGCTCAAGGCCCGGCCCGAAGGCTGGGAGGAGGCGGAGCCTCAGGTGTGAGGGTCGCAGGTAAGCACCGTGGGAGCGCCAGGTGACTTAGGAAGTCTGGGGACCTGAATGCTGCCATTCGTGCACCTCCTACCCCCAGCTTACGTCGTTCACAAGGGCCTGAGAAAGCGGCCCCTAATCACGTAGGGAAATTGAGGCCTGGAGGCCGGGAGCTCCTTACCTGGATCCGCAGCCTAATCGTGCGGACTGGGGATTCGAAGCCCGCAGGTCCTACCCGCCCCCTGGCCCCCGAACTCCACTCCCCGTCTCTTAAACTCTCATCCCAGACTCTCCTGGGTGAAAATTACCCGGGGCGTCCGAGAGCCTACTCATTCCTGGCGCGGTCTGGGGGGCTTCCTGGAGGAGGCGGCTCCAGTGCTTGTTCTGCCCGGACCCACAACCCTTCCTGAACTTCACTGCCTTGATCTGTGAAATGGGCGAAATGGGGCGTTGAGGGCAGCACAGCACAGGGCGCAGAGGTGGGGGTAATGGGAATGGGCCAGGCTCTGGGAACTGAGGTTATCAAATGGGGAGTCGAGGATTAAGCCCTGTCCTTCCCACTCTCCCCCAAGAAGAAGACTAGAAGCGGCGAAAGTCCCAAGGAAGGAGGCGTGGCCCGAGGGCCGCGCGCTCCCCTCCGACCGGCTGTAGGGGGCCGCCCAGCTCCAGTGCCCGGCCCGCCCCTGGAGGCAGGAATGCGGAGCGGCGCGGGCGGGGCGGGGCGGGCTTGTTGCCCAGTTTCCATGATGCGGGGGGCGGGCTGATTGCTTGGTTCTGCGCCCAGATCCCCCTCACGCCCGCAGCCCGGGCCGGGCCCCTCGGGAGGAATTTCCGGCCTGGGATTGATTATAGGCCGCCCCCTCCCCCCGGCCGCGGGGACCACCCCCCCTCGGCATGCTGGGGGGAGGGGCGGTAACGAGAGCTGGCTGTGCGCCTGGGGCGGGGAGGGGAACTCGAGAAAGTGACCGGCCTGAGTCGCCCGCACCCTCCTCCAGCTCGGGAAGGAGCGGGCTCCGAAAGGGGCGGGGACTGCCTTGAGCAACACGGCTCACCCAGGTCTCGATCCCGTGCTCGGCTCCTCCGGTTCTGCAGAGGGGTTTGAGGGAGGCCTCAGCAACCCCCGGGAATCTCACTCCAGGTATCTACGGGAGGTGTCGGCGGTCCGGCCCAAGCCACACAGACTATCCGGGCCTTACCCCTGGGGGTCGCCTTCCCGCCTCCTTGGTTGGACTGGGATCTCCTGAGGGCGGAGCTCACATTGGCTCCCTCCGCTCAACAACTAAGCGTCTAAGCTGCTGGCTTCGATCCGCTAAGGCTTCGGCCTCCTGCCACCCTCCCTTCCCATTGCCCTGGACCCTGTCATCGACTCTAGTCATCCAACTGTCTACACACTGCCCCTACGCACTTCCACCTCTGCCGTCACAGCTCCCTTCACACTGAGGGCTCAGCTCCCCCCTAGCATCTGTCCCCTCTGCCTACTGCTCTCCCAAAAGACACCAACTCTGGGGACAAATCCTGGATGCCTGCAGTCCTTGCTGAGGCCACTTCCTGTTGTTCCCCCTGCTTGCCTTGGGGCCTGGGCCTCTGTTTCTGGCCCCTCTGCCTTCACCACTAGGTGTTGGAGCACCCCCTCTCACCTTCACACCTTAGACACCTCTCTGGAAGCACCCACCCCGGGCTCCATCTTCCCAGCTCTTCCCTGTTTTCCCCTCTCTGCAAAGGGACCCACTGCCCACCGTCAGGCCGCCTACAAAGATGGCCACCTTAGTCCCCTCCCTCTCCCTTTTCTGTCCAAGCCAAGGTCACCAGGTGACCTTGCTCTTTTCATCTCAAATTAATCACATTCTTCCTTCCTTGCAGACCTGTCCAGGTGCCAGCCACCTATATATGTCTCTTGCCTAGAGCCCCTCCTCCTGGCTATTTCTATACTGAATCCCTAAAATCCTCAATGGTTCCCCACTGCTGTCCAAATGTAGTTTAAAATTCTTGTCTCCACACACTGGCTTCTGCCCCTGCCCACTCCAGCCCCTGCCTCTCTCACTCCACGCTCTCTGGTAGCTGAACCTGATTCTATCCCCATGCCCTCTGTGCTCTGGCTTCTGGGCCTTGGCATACAGGCGCAAGCCTTGCCTTCTGTAGGGAATACCTATGCTTCCTCTCTTCTTCCCCTTACCAGCTTCTGCTGATCCTTGACCTTCTCTTGGCCCCAGCCGAGATCAACCCCTTCTCCACCCTCATCATCATACAACCTCGTGGCCCCATGAGCTTCCCCTTAGCAGCACTGTGCACAGGTGAAGGGACAGAATTGTTTGAGTCTCTTTCCTGTCTGTGACAGTGAGGTGTGAGAGGCAGGACTGGGACTGTCTTGCTTATCCCTGGAGCCCTGGAGCCCAGTGCCCAGCACAGTGTCTGACCACAGCTGGCCTTCAATGTTAAAGTAATGTGTGCAAGCAAGCAAAAATCCATTGGGTTTCTATACATCAGCAAAGAAAATCCCTAATCTGAAATTAAGCTCTCCCTGCCCTCGAGTCAGATCCGACTCATAGTGACCCCTCCTTGGGTTTCCGAGGTGGTATCACCATGGAAGAAGATTGCCCAACCTTCCTTCCCGAAGTGGCTGGTGGGTTTGAACTGCCAGCCTCCTGGTTAGCAGTCAAATGCCTTAGGCACTATGCTACCAGAGCTCCTAATCTGAAATTAGGGAAACAATTCCATTTATAATAGCATCTAAGAGAATAAAATACCTAGGAA